CTTTCCTTTCCTTTCCTTTCCTTTCCTTTCCTTTCCTTTCCTTTCCTCCTTTCCTTTCTTTTCCTTTCTTTCTCTTTTGCATCTCATCTGTTGCTATTTCAGGGACATATGTCCTCCTTAAATCATTCTTCCAGAAATTTTTTTTTTGATGACAAGTCCCTCGGTCTCATTCTGATACACAAATGAATAATAAAGGACAAATGCTATTTTTCTTCCTTTTTTTTCCCTTTCCGAGGATCGGTATTGCTATTCACAAATGAGCGTGGGCAAAAAGAGAGAAAATGATGATGCTATCTAGCCACACATGTTGAATGAATATTGATCTTGTAGAAATAGAAACAAGTGGCGCTGATTGCAGGAATATTATACATCACCAGCTGGGAGAATAAGACGGGAGAGTAGATTTGGTCTGGGGGAAAAACGTACATATTCATGAATATTCTCTCCCTTTTATTCCTCCAAAGCCTGAGCTTCTAGTGTTTCTTTGTGTGTGGGGGGGTGGGGTTCCTCTTTTTGGAGTCCATGAGGTCTGCTTTGGCTTGTTCTAGAAGATTTTTGCTAGCAGAAATCGCTGTCTGACACCTTTCAATGTAGGGCAATGTTAAGAAGAAGCATTTAATTAATTCCATTCTGAAGTGCATGAATAGGTTTTTAACCTAGGATGGCAATGTCTGAAGAAGGGAAAGGCCTTAAACCTACATTCCAGCCTCCCCCATTATTATACCACCTCTGACTGGAGATTTGACAGTATCTTTCCCACCAAGCCATGCCCACAGAACCGGTAATAAATTTTTTTGAATCCCACGACTGCAGTGGAACTCATCTATCTCCAGCAAGGGCATCTTCCTCTCCCATTTCAACCGTTATCCTTGCTAAAACGATCTATGTAGGGTGGGCTATAGATAACGCTCCAAAAGTGAGTGCAGTCAGGAATCCAGATAAATCCAGTGGGGAAAAATTGGGGATAAGTTGGGTAAAAAATCGCAATCACTCAATTAAAATATATCCAGAAATAAAACCAATATTCATGTTCTGGCCAAGACCTCTGGATTAGCTCACTGGGAGAGATGATCTGTCTTTGGTTATTGGAGGAAAGGAAAAACCTCTGTAGAATGAAGCAACCCCCAAACTGCTCCATTGAACCCAAGAATGCCGATCTTGGTAGCTCATCCAACTTCTAAGATGATTGCGGCCAACCTTTGCCGTCTCCCAAATTCCCCAGAGAGGAAGATAAATGGAAGAGTCACCTGGCCCACTATCCCATAAATTCCCCACACATTTGTGTGTGTCTCTTCGACATTAGCTGGAGGCAAATGTGCCGAAGACACACACCGCTCTTCTTGAGATGATGTGCAA